TGTGCCCTGTTTGAGATGCAGAAAACTCCATAACTGTGATGGGTCTGATTTGACGTTTTGTTCTACACGACTTAAGTAGGATCGATAACCATTGGAAATTTGAATTTTAATTCTTGCTCTGAGCCTTCTAAATTCGTTATAGTATTCTGGGTTATTTGTTTCCTTCCATTTACGTCTTAGAAAGTCTTTAGTTCTAATATCACGTCTAATCTTTGGCGATATCCAAGGAGGAAATTTCGAAGAAGCAGGCCGATACTTAGGAACAGTCAAATCCATGGTCATATAGAGCTTAGAATGAAAGGTGTCCACCGCTACGTTTACATCAACGGCTTGTTTAAGAACTGATCAATTGATGTTATGAAGATTATTATAGAGCTTAAAAAGTCAACTTTCCTCCAGTTGTAACAAGAGTTTGCTGCAGAAGGAAACTGATCGGTATGTTGGCGAAGAGGAAATTGTAAAGTCATGTGTAGTCCCGGATGATGAGGATCTTCATGTAGGAGAGGCGGATCAGAGTGTTTAACTGAGATGTCAATGTTAAGGTCTGAACAAATTAAATCCAACATGTTTCCATTAAAATTAAGAATTGAATTACTCTGTACAAGTTGACCAGTATCACAAAATTGTTTTAGAGTGTAGGTTTTAGGGCAGTTAAAGCCCTCCTGTATAAAATGGGGCACATTAAAGTCACCTACGAGTATGATTTCATCGTTTAGTATGAACGTTTCTAGCGCATTAAAAAACAATTCAAAGTTATGAGACGATATGTCCGGAGGTATGTAGATAACAATAAGTAAGAATTTAAGGTTACCAACAGAACATCTGCAAATAATTATATCAATCAGTGGAACCATGTCAGTTAAAACCGTAGTGTCAACAGCATCAGCATTGATAAATTCAGAGAAAGCAGCAAGAACTCCACCACCCCTGGTGCGACCTACAGTGGAAAACTTTCTGTCACATCGTATAACATGATAGTGGGATGGAAACAACTCAGTATTATAAACAGAATCATTCAACCATGTTTCACTTAACGCAATGATATCATAAGACAAGTCACAGGAACTGACGTAACAATTATGTGATTTGGAAACTAAACTATGAACATTTTGACAATATAAGGTGAAGGAAGGTCTAGACCTGTTGGACCGTATTAGTTTTCCTGAGTAATAATAATGGGAATTCCGTTGCAATAAATTATTTTTAGATTATTTTCACCCAAAGATAAACGACGACCCAATTCCTCTTTCACAGATTTATACAAGTTTATTTGCATTGGAGTGCGATCCCTGGAAACACTAATATTATTCCATTTATCTAAACCTTGAAGATTTTTGAATTTTTTCAACACCGTAACGACATCATTGACTGAGTTCAACCGTACACGAAGAGGACGACTCCGATGGGTAGCTGAAGCTATGAATTTACCAAGACGAAGAGGGTGTGACGCTGGTTGAGTAATATTTAACTGGGTCAGCATGTCATTCACCAATATCATGTCCGATGTGGTCTGGTCTTGTTTAGATAATCCCTCTGGTTCTTGGACGTTATAAATAATGAGATTGCATTCACGCTTGCTTCTCTCCGAGATTTCCTGCACAATTTTTTCAACCGTCCACAACGATGAATCATTACAAGTAGACGAACTGGCAGACTCTAACGCGGTGGTATTAAGAGATTTTAATTTTTCAATTTCAACCTGCAGATCATGAACCATAGCAATCAGCTTTGGTACTTGGTGTACACCCTGCTCGCAGTCGAGGCAGATGTATTTCATACGACGTTTTGAAGCGGGCCTAGACTCCAGACATTTAACCTCAGGTGCAGTGAGCTCAGAACAAGGAATGTGAAAAAATTTGTTACATCCATCACACTTGATAAACGAGTTGACTTTTGATTCATCAATTTCGCTTTTACATTTTACACAACGCATGATGATGTGAAAAATAAGAAAAAAAATAAGTGAAAAAAAATCGTTTTGGGAAAAAGGAAAGAAAAGAAAAGAAGAACAAGGTCACTTTTCACACTCGCGGGGTCGGTCGCGGTGACTTTGAGCACAAACAAGAGGACCACGGAAAAAACAAAAATGTAAAACAATAGGTCAGTGTAAGGAATTAATTAGATTAGAAAAAGAGTAAGGTTAAGAATGAAAAAGTTCAAGTGAAAAAGCAAGAAACTCAAGTACAACAAAAAATGTGAGTTATAAGCGGACTTACTTGATATCTGTGTACAGCAGTTGTTTAAAAATTGCCACAAATATTTAGTTAGTATGTAAGTGCAGGTGCACGAGCAGGTTGCACGCACGCCATGTATGACACGAGCACGAATAAATTTCATAACAATCCGTTCAAAATTACCTGAGTTATTCCGCCCGAAAGTGTTACGTGGGACACCCGGTATATATATTGTTTGTGTATATTAGTCTGTTCACTGTATTCTATATGTTGTCCTCTAAGTGGGTTGTAACCTGTTGGGCAATAAAAGTTTATTATTATTATTATTATTATTATTAATAATCATGGACAAAGAAGGCAGGAATATTATCGACACTCATAGTTAAGTTAGTTTTAATTTTTCGACTAGCTTTCAGTATATCACTTTCATACATATATGGTAAACTTATGTAAAACAGTAACATTAAAATCACAGTCTAGGAACTTATCACACATGGAAATCTCATTGGGACACATATTAGAGCCTTCTCTATCATAGGGCAGATGACTATTATTAGTATCAACACAATCTCCTCACTCTCAATTCATCATTAGCCTCCGGAATCGATGGTATAGCTCCTTTGAAACGCTGCGGTCACTCCCTCGTTTATCCCCTAACCATGATCATGCAAAACTCATTTCAAACTCATGCTCTTCCCGATATCTGGTTAAAAGTACTAGTGGTACTGATCTTTAAGAACGGAAATAAACTGGACCCCAGTGACTACCGTCCAATCAGAAGGTGTTAAAGAAATCGAAAGATAAATTTACGACTGGAATTGATGGGATACCCAATTTTTTATTGAAAGGTTGTACTACAATCTTATGTTTATTATGCAGGACCTTTTGAAATTCTTACCTCTTCCCAAATGGAGTTTAGCTCTCTATTTCCAAGCAAATAAATAATTTTTGTTAGTGCTCAAGCGCTCGGCCGCTGCCAATAAATAATAATTTGAGCATGACAGAACGTCACCAGTAGTAGGTACGTTCGGGCTGCTACTACTACTATATTCTGATGCTTGACGCGAAATTGTACATATTAACTTTAGGAATTCTAATAAACCTAGAGAAATGGGAAATTTTCAGAGTAATGTTCAGATGCTGTCAACAGCCCAGCAGTTCTCGTGAGTTTCTGATCTTTTATCAAAATGTTTTTATCGTGGTCTACGTACAAAGTGAGGACAAATTTATAATACTATTCTTGCTTATCCCTTCGTAGTTTTAACCAAGACCTGGCTTCGTTGATATTGATACCAGTGCGTTTATCGACAATAGATGTTGTATTACATCTTAGTTCAAGTATTATATTTAATTAACTATTAGTTTGTCAAATCAGCTCAGATTGCGTATCAATATGATACTCCGGTTTTTTTTTGTTAACAAAAAGAGTTGTATGATATAATTAAATATTAATTTAGGAAAAACCTTGATAACTATCTGCGACGTAAGTTTGTTTCTACACGTGCGTATCTACAATGCCAGGAAAAATAAGATTGAGTTGTTAACTTATCAACAATTAAACAAGGTCACGCCGGGGTTTTTTCCTAAATTAACATTAAAATGCTAGAACAGATAAATCAAGTAGTAATTTATCATTTAGCTGGATCTTGTGTAGCAAAAATGAACTGATAATCGACAAATAAATGTAATTTATCAGTTAAAAAGTATTTATCACAAATAAACTCATGGACAAATTATACCACTCAATTAGATAAGCACACGTGTTCCTATATTCGACTGATCTGATTGATAGCTACATAGGAACTTTTAAATAAAGCAGCGTAATTGTTTTGAACGTGAATAGTCCAGAAAAAGATATTATTTTAAGTCACTTTTATTTATTAATTAATGACGCCAAAAATTTGCAAAACATGAACTACACACAAAAAACGTAAACAATTAAAGTAACGCGTTCAAACCGACCCTAGTACCCTGTATGGCCCGCTATACCTCTTATCACGGAATTTATTGGTATACTGGAGAAAGATTTTCGACAACATCTCTGGGAATATTTTCCCATTTTTTAGGTGCTCAACTGGATTTACATTGGATCCCCTCTGAAAAAATAATGACGTTATTCCAAAATTTTGTCCACTAGATCCTATCAAAAATGTGCAAAATATGATCAGTCTATACTTATGATTTATCGAGGAGGGATTTGTTGCGCTGCACTTCAGGACCGAGGAAAGCTTGTCGAAATATAGTTCGACCAATTTTTTATACAAAAACCACTCGACATATTAGTGTGTATTTAGTTCCTCCGCGAAGAATTACTGACAGCATGACTTGACATTATAGAACGTCATTTATGGGAAGCCTATTTGAAGACTACATATGCCGTTTTTAATTTTTCTTCTTTCACTCTCCAAGTCGATGTGAACCGAGTTATTCATCAAATCGCCCTTGCAAGAACATTTCCGACTGAACTGGTTTTTATACAAAAGAGCTCGCATTGAAATCGGTTCATGCGTTTAGGAGCTGTGGTATAACAGATAAATAAGTACATAGCGATCAGCTGATGATCTTGAATTAATTGAAGTGATTATCGTCAAACATAGCTAACCATTTCGATTAAAATAGCTTTCAATTAAAAAACACTGCATCGAAATTGGTTCATCCATTTGGGATCTACGGTACCACAGAAGGGCAAAATAAATCTTAATTTTGAATACTTCATCGTAATATTGTAATTTGAACCTTAGTGTTTTAGTGTTTTCATTTTAACAAAACAAGAAAGGTACTTTGTTTTTAGAATATTATTAAAATTATTAAAATATTAAAGAATAATTATTCACATATTCTCTTGTATATTTATTCAGGTACATATAACAAATATTGAAGCATTTTCTTCAAGTGCCAAATTTCATATCTAATCTGAAGAAGAAGCATTAGCGAGTAAATTTCTTTTTAAGTCTTGAATGTACTCCATGGTTGTGATCATTTCCTTTAATAACTCATCATCTTCGCATTCAAGCTGGTCGAGTTCTTCCAACAGACGCATAAGGTTTTCGTGGATTATGTAATAATCAACAGAGTCTCTTGTTCCCAAATAACATTTTATATCATTTTCAAAAGTTTCAGCATGCGAATGAATTTGTTGAACATATTCTACACTTTCTTTGTTCTGAGTGTTTTCAAACTTGAAATTAGTGAAATAACTATCAACATTTAAGACATTCTCGTACGGTATCTTCTTGAACGCAAAAACTGATAGTCGTTTGTCTAAACAGCCCATCATGTTTTTAACTTCATCTAGAGCTAGTTCTTTTAGAGCATTCAATTCTTGTATTTCTCCGGGTATGGGTATATCTTCAATATTTTCTTTAACAATAAATAATTCGGCAATATTTGCAAGGGTCAAGTCTTCTTTAAGCGATTTAATACGATTGTTGATGATGTAGTTTAATGTTTCTTTTGATTTTTCAATTAGAATTTCTTTCTTAACGTCGGGTAGAAATTTTAACAAGCCGCCGCTTGTATACTTTTCTTCAAAGGAAAGTACAGCTTCCTCAAATTCTCTCAGAGCCTCCGTTTTCGCTGAATCTGTAAGATTCTCTTGGGATAGATCATTCAATTTGCTTTTAGAAGATTTCACTTTTTTAATATTTTCGTTTAAGCCTTCGATTTTGATTAAAATTTCGGAAATTTGTTCTTTAAACTTATCGAAAACTATTGTCAATGTTCCCGAATTTTCGGGTGGAGTTTCACTTATGACTCTTTGTACTTCATTCCACTGTGTTTCAATTAATTGTCGTTCCTCTTGAAAATTTTGGTCGGGATTTAAACCACACAGTTGCTCTGTTAATTTTTCGTATTTTTCGAGAAGTATGTCTACTGAAGGCAAAAGTTCCTTAACATATTTTTCATAAAATTTCTTCTCATAACTGTGCAAACTGCGCAGAACTTCCATTTTTTTTGCGACAATTCTAAAGTGAAAACTTCTAATGGTTTCAATATTGTCTCTGTAATCATTAAATACAAGTAGCGTCGTTTCTTCCTGTTTAGGTTTGTTATTTATTGTTCCTTGAATTTCTTTTAGTTTCTCAAATTCTGATATACTTCGTTTATTCTCTTCAGCTTTTTTTGTTAAAATATCAACCACTTCATCGATTCGTTTCTGGATAACGGTTTTTCTTTCTACGAAAAAAGTGTTGTCTTCAGAAATATATTCTAAGCAGCTGTTCATTCCTTTTATTTCTTCTGTTTTTGTTGTATACTTCGCAGTATCTTTTCGAAAAGCAAACTGTTGAGCATAACTGCGATAGTCTTCTATCACTCTAATTTTCTGTCTTAAGTAAACTGCGGTTTCTGCAATAATAAAACCTGATATTTTGTTAATAATTTCATTTTGTCGTGTAACTATCGCTTTATTTGATTGATCTATTTTCTGTACGTTTTCCTTTAGTTGTTCTAATTTAATTTTTTTTTGACGAAAGTCTGCGTGTTGGCTAACGATTTCTAAAATTTCGGCTTCTTTGATATTCAAAACTTCGTTAAAGTCTTTGACGAGTTCTAATTGTTCATCAGCGTAGTTTACATGAGTATTCATGTCCATTTTTTTCTTTTGTATTACGCTGTCCTCTGCACCGATCGACTGGAGTCGCTTCTTTATTTTTGATATCGTATCTGCTAGTAGTTTTATGAAACGGTTGTCCACAGGCAGGCGTACGTTTTCTAGATCCGTGATACATTTACCCAAATCATAATTGATTTCGTCTAGTTGAACATTAGGGTCAACTAAAATAAAAATTTTAATAAAAACAACAATTAAAATTATGGTACAGGGCGATATAATAAAAATGGAATCAAAAAAATAATTTAACCTGAGGCAATTTTTGTTTTTACTTCATCAAGTTTCTTGGTAGTCGAATTTTGTAGGGACCGCAAGGATGTTATAAATTTGTCAACTTCTTTTTTCAAATTCTCCTTTTCTGAAGAATCCACGTTTTGAATGTTGAGTTTTTCAAAATTTCCGATAGCTTCATTCAGATGAAATAAAGTTTCGTTTAAAACGTTTGCAGACAATTTGGGAGGAGAGTGTAGAAATAATTGTAGAATAATAAATCCAAAGTAAAGGTCCTTCATTATGTCGGCCCATTGGCTCTTATTTATTGATTCTAGCCCACACAAAAAATTGTTTAAGATGGTTTCATACGCTGTTACATCAACTTTTCCATGGTTAATTTTTTTTGCGGTTTTAATCAAATCCTGTTTTATTCGATCCGCATCCTGATAATCTACGAAAAATATATACAGTATGTATGTGGATATATTATCATTGTTCTCTATTTTCATATTAATATTGCAATAATTTTTCCACTTACTTGAAATGGTGTAGAAGCTCGTGTTTGCTCGTGTTGGCTGATTCTCCAATTTTCTTTTCACTGCGTCTATTATGTGTTCAATTCTTTTAGATTCTTGTAACAATTTTTTGTCTTTTCCCCTTTCTTTAGTTCTGGATAGGTACTCATCAAGAACTCGTAACAACTGAATTTTCAATTGTTGTAAAATATTAATTTCTTCTGCATCTAGTCGATCACTGAGTCTTTGCATGATGGTTTCTATTTCAAGAAAGTTGCTCATACCTGGTGAAAAATGGTGCATTAAAGATTTGGAACTACGATTAAGCTAGGACTACTCGATTGACGCATTGTCAATATTATAACGATACGCACCTAATAAGTTAATCCAACAGTTTTCAAGAAAAAATTGTAATTCCACTAGCTGAACTTCTGTTATTGGTTTGTCCTGTTGTTGGCGAAATTACTTGAACTGAATTTCTGAAGTTTGATAACTGGAATAGATAATATCATTCCTTAGATAAAAGAAGGCTTTTGGTTTGAATTAGATAAGATTGGTTAAAAGCAATTTCGTAACTTAAAAAAAATGCTCCACGCTTAATATTAACTTAGTAAAATCATTGTTTACCTGAGATAAACGGCAGACGCGTCACAACTGATTGTAGAAACATGTCGGGTACCAACAGAATAAAAGTGAAGGAGTAACAAACTTATTGCAGACATCTTTTTCAAATGTTTTATTTAATCAATTAAAGTCACTGGTTAATTAATTAATTGATTTTAAAACATTTTGTACAAATGTCAAACATTTGCTTAAGACATTTTTGAGGTGACGACGCTGATTTTCTAGAAAAAATTTTTGGTTTAGATTACAAACCCTAATACAAAATAAGAAAACAAATATAACAGACTGAAAATATTTTTAGGTTAAGCGGTAAGGTATCGTCTCTTTACAAGGACGAGAAAGTAATTAATTTTTTAGGATAAATGGATTCATTTTGATCAAGCTACTCACGACAATCTTAAAACGTTTGTAAGAATTTAGAGCATTCGGTTTTGCAGATTAAAAGTTAAACTGTAAAGGCTTGTTATACAATTTGGATTTTTCTTATTGAAAAATTTGGATCTCTGGGTTAAAAATCAAGACGGGTTCATAAACACGACTACAGGAATATGTTGATTCATAAAATTTATATAACATTTACTATGCAAAATTTTGACGTAATGTGACCACATTGTTGGTAGGGAGGGATTAGACAACTTTTGGTTAGCGTTTCACGATCTACACGATGTTCTTGATAAACATACAAAATTTGACAACAGGATCAGGAGAAGCCCCATCCAGAAAGAAGTCGTCGCCAGAGAACCCGGAACCAATGTGACCCACATTTTATTCTTCTTGCTTTGCAACTTCATTTCTTTTAGCCGATAAGTTTTTATTCACCAGTGTAGCTGGTGACGGCCAACAAAAACCGTCTAGTGTTAATTTCTCGGAGTATTATTGTTTTTCGTCGGCGCTCACGAGATCTTTGGAGTTCCGTGTCTCGGGCTTTAGAGCAATCCCAATGCACCCTGTGGGGACGAAGCTGGCGCCTGAGCATATCGCCCGACAAAAGGGTCATCCCCGTAACGTGAAGGTGACAAGGTGACCACATCACCTAGGCCGGCCTAGCGCAGCCTACCTTCAGTAATTTCTGTTATCGAAAAATACGAAGCGTTATCTCAACGGCTGTATGATTTAAACACAAACCGAACGTGTTCGAGATTTTTTAAAATGTCTGCTACGAGCTAACGTTGTTGAAAGTATCACTACAACACTGAAGTACTGAACTATGCTATTTTTTCAAAATATCTGAAATTGTGGGCAGAAAGAAGGGGTAAATGGAATTCATATATCTCATAAATGAGAAGAATGGGAGGGCGCACAACAAATGGTAAAACTACAGTGTTTCACAAAAAGAGAAGACCATAATTGTATTTGCAAGAACATCAAATCATTCTGTTTTTTATTACCCATTTTGGGATTTGCAGTCAGTTTGTTCAAACGATGTCATCTTAATGTAATACAAATATTAGCGACACTTTTGGGACACCCTGTGTAAGCCAATCTAAAAAATATTAATGTAGTCATAAATCACAAGTATGGACTCATCATATTTTGTACATTTAAGATAGGACTATCAATTTTTAGAGCTGATGGGCAAATATATTTAGGTTAAAAATTTATCATGCTTCATGTGCAAAATTTCAAAGCATTCGGTTTAACAGATTCAAAATTAAATTGCAAGATGCTGTTTCATAATTTTGATTTTTTTATGGATGTTTCGGGTAAAAATTCAACACGTCGTCATAAACTACATGTGTAGGACTATTTATACAATTTTAAAACCCATTCACTATGTACAATTTTGAAGTGACGTCACATTATTGGTGGGGATGATAAGACAAATTTTGGTTAGCGTTTTACCTACCATCTACATGATATTCCTAATATAAATACAGAACTTTCGGAGATTATCTGGTGACGGCAGACCGACAGACAGACGGATAGACAGACGAACAGACAGGCAGACAGACAGAAACGGGAGACCTATTTCTTCGTACTCTGGGGGTCATGAAAGATCGAGAAAACGTAAAAGTAGAGAGTGGGCCGACAGACTTGATTACAACTGTCCTTCGCTTACGTCCATGCTCACAAAGTATATTGAATGAGAAATGGGGGACTACGCGTTTAATGAGTTAATGACTGTATATGTAAAAGAGTAAACTCTTAGTTGTAGCAAAACACCTGTTTAAAATAAAGGTAAACATTGATACAGCCGTGCTGATTTTTGCCTGGGAAAAATTTCAAGTAATTCCTTCAATATCATCCAGCGTCTCTCATTGTCATGAGCCAGACGAAGGCATTTTCTTGTTGGCAATTCTTTCACTTTCGAAAATAATCGTTCTTTATCGATACTGTACTAATGTTCGAAAAGAAATAATTTCGTTTTATGATGTTTGGCTTCTTTAGAAATATTGATACAGGGTGACTCAAAAAAGTAATTAATGAGTCAGTGTATTTTATTCATTACATCAGGAACGGCTCATTTCATTTTCCAGAAAATTTGGGAATACAATAATGGTATTATTATTTAACAATAGTTATTTATGTATTAAGGGCATAATCAGGGAGATTGTGGCACGAGGGAATGTTTAAAGCCCGACGAAGGAGGGCTTTTAATTTCCTGAGTGCCACAATCGACAATTATGCACGTGGTACATACAACGTTTTATTCTATTTTAGTTTATAAACTATTTTTAACGAAATATTGAGTATTTTCGGCAAGACTGTGTGAATTGTGCCGATGCGAATTTTAATACATAGCTGGCTATTATTTTGATGTTGTTATGGATACCACGTTGATTATTTGATAATTCGTTTTTCAAAATGTAAATTAAAGAAGCGGAAAACGTTTATTCAAACGAAAGTTTAGAAGAATTTGAAGTCGGTCAGGTAATGATTTGATAAAATATTGTTTTTCCAACTTAAGAAAAACGTTGAATATCGAAGCGTGTTTGAATAATTAATTGATTAGAGTAAATGAACAATCAATTGTTGCTTAGCAATTTTTGACAGATTTGTGCTAAAAAGGTCAATTTAAGCCCGCATTTGGGTGCTTATAAATAAGATTATGGTTCTAAAATAGAATAAATATTTATTATGGACCTATCCAAAGTGATACATGTATCCTGCAAAAAATGTTAATGACGTCTTTACAAAATTTTGTTAGGGAGAAATTCATTTGAAACATGCCGTAGCACGCTTCTTTACATTTACTTTTACATTACATACATATCTTTATTACAACTAGAGATTTTCATAAAAAATAAAAATTCATTATAGAAAAATTGTAGAAGTTCTCATAAAAACACTAAATATGTGAATTCACATGTTGTAATTTTTAGAAAAAGCTAGATATGTTGTTTTATTGTACTCCAAGAGCGAGGGCCGTTCTTTCGAAGTTCTTCTTAACATTCGTGCTTTATTTTTGACTCTGTTGGATGGGGCTTGAGAATACACTAACTCTCAGCTCTAGCGAAGGTAGGAGTCCTTACTTTGATTGTGCTATTCCAACGTTATAATCTAAACAACCGATATTTCGCTAAATTTGTTGGAACTAATTAATTCCGCAAATTATTCTGTTTTTAACTTCTAGAGCGTAAGCGAAGGAAGTATTGTAATCGAGTCCGTCGGGCAACTCCCTACCTTTACGTTTTCTCGACCTTCCATGACCTCTAGAGTACCAAGAAATAGGTCTCCCGTTTCCGTCCGTCTGTTCGTTTGTCTGCCGTCTCGTATTTTTGTTAGAAAGTACTAGTCCGATTGATTGTTTTCAAATTTTGTATTTATATTAGGGATATCATGTAGATGGTAAAACGCTAACCAAAATTTATCTAATCATCTCCACCAGTAATGTGATGACGTCACTGCAAAATTGTACATAGTAAATGTGTTTTAAATTGTATAAAATAACATAGTCCAGATTTGTGGGAAAAAATCAAAATTATAGAACAATATTTTGCAGTTTAATTTTGAATATGTAAAACCGAATACTTTGAAATCTTGCAGATGTTTTAAAGTAATGACAACCATAATAAATTTTTAATCAAAATATATTTGCTTATCCCCTCCAAAAAATTGATAACTTCTGGTCAAAACTTTGCTCAATAAATCCTATCTGAATGTCCAAAATATGATAAGATTGATAAGTCTGTACTTTTGCTTTATCATTCCATTCATATTTACTGGATTTGCTTATACAGGGTGACTCAAAAAAATTAATGAATGCATGAAATTATTTTATTGATTTTGAAAATTTTGGGCATACAATATTTTTGTTTTTAGTACTACACTGCACCAATCCAAGTTGATATACGTGTCCTTGCAAAAATGTTGATGACGTCATCACAAAATTGTGTGAAGAAAAGATTCAACTCGAAAATGCTGGATGAAGGTGCGAGGAAAGTTCTGTCGAAACAACTTTTGACCATTTTTTTTGCTGTTTTGGTAGTAATCGTAATTGAAATTCCCGCTTCTAATAGTTTAGAGTGTTTAAGCGAGTTTTTGCGTTGGGTTCTTGTGTTATTTAACGCATCGGCGTTGTTATTACCGGATTTGGTCCACTCATGCTTGAAAGATTTGTGCAACATGATTTTCCATCTACACGAAATTCCTAAAATATACTAAAACTTGACAACAATCGGTCCAGTAGTTTTGCTAATTATTTGTCTAACACTATTACACACAAAGAGAGGACAGACAGACGACAGGTAGACAACCCTATTACAATACTTCCTTAGTTTGCGCTCGGGCAGTAAAAATCAAGATAGATTTATAAAGTATTATACCTGTAGCAAAACATTATTTTATAAAATTTAAATATGTAACATTTAAAATGAACTTTCTGAGATGATGTCATCATGTTGTTGATGGGACAATTCCACAAAGCGCTGACAAAATACATATACATTTAATGAATGGGTAAAGTTTGATTAGCGTTTTATCATCCTGACGTGAACATAGCATTCAATAACAATCGGTTCAGTAGTTTCCGAGATTATCTGTCAGTCTGTCAAAAATCGTCAAACGGCGGGCAGACAGACGGAACGGAGACCTATTTTTTCGAATTCAAGGGGTCATGAAACTTAAAGGAAAAATGAAAGTATAGCCAAAAGTAAAAATAGCAGTAATATAGGTACTGATTCCAAACAAAATAATTTGAGATTGCAATAAATTAGTATTTTACATAAGAAACGAGTAATTATTGTACTTCTATTTAGTTTAATTTAAGTTGTTGTTAACAGTATTTATCTATGCGTGATTGTATAACTGGTTTATTCTATTAGAATATGAGCTACAAATAAATACTCGTAAAATTATACACCAAAACATGCTAACTAACTGTCGACAGTTGTTTCATTCTGATCAAGTTTGTCACTAGTATGCGTAGAAAGCTTGTCAATGGTTGTTAACTTCGCCAAGACTTCTTCTAGTTGTTGCTGAATTCTTTCTACGTTTGCTAGGTCCACGTTTTGCATGTTAAGTGTCGAAATATTTTCAGAAACTTTATTCAAATGACATTTGTTTTCGTAAAGAATATTCGTTGCTTTCTGAGGGCCCGCAGATAAATATAAAAACTTGAGCAATTTTGGTAAATCATATTGTTCTTTGCTATCAAAACTGTATGAACTTTTCTCTATACAACTTCCGTAGTAGACTGCTGTGTTGAAAATACTCCTGTAGTCTAGCACTTTGTTATTAGTTAGTTTGATGTGGATATCCAAAAAAAAATCTTTCATTTCAATTAAATCTTCATCTTCTAAAATTTGAAATAACATCAGTCAAAACATAATGGTTGTCTAAATTTATCTAATTATTTTAACAGCTTACTTAAATTTTCGTTGATGATCACTTCGTATGTTGGTAATTCTTGAAGTTTTGTTTTCGCCGTGTTTATTAACTTCTCAATTTCCACTGTGCTTTTATCTTCGTGTTGTTTTACAAAATATAGGTAATCAGTAAGTAGTTGCTCAAGATGATTCTTCAAGAAATAAGACATTTTTTCCTGGTTTGTATTAAATATCGTAATGAGTTCTTTTGTGTTATATTCTATTCCTTCTAGGTTCGCCATACCTAAATTATACGATAAGTAAGGTATTTTGGTTACAAGTACATTTTCCTACTTTACCTGCGTATGAAGTAAGCGGTTATTCCGTCGTAACTGTCGGTAATTTTCAAAGTTTATTGTCCAAACACGAAATTTGTTAACCAGGGTAATTTGCTACAATTTAGAAATAGAAAATTAATTCGAAAGTTAAGCAGATTTTTGTAGAAATAAATTACCAGCTTTTAGTGTGTTGATGATATTCTTTGAAATATTTCAATGAAGGAAATGCGTGAAAATTACTTCTCAATTCTTAATGTTCTACTTACGTTTTAGAAGCTAAAACGTTATCGCTCTGATTAGATTAGATACAAATTTGTGTGGTTACGTATTTTAAGTTTGCTAAAAAAAATTACACTAAAAATTCCCATATTTTCCTTGGATTTGAACTAAAATCACACAAAGTAGGTATTCATCGTTTGAACATTTTCATTTTGTTGAATGTACTATAATAAGTACTGTTTGTAACTGGACAAGTTTACCAAAGTATAACTTATCTCATTAAGTTCACATTTTATATGTATTTGTATACCAAGGCTGTAAAGAAGAACTTTTTCAGTCGGTCAGAGCCTTGAATCCGAGACATAGCCGAGACATACAAATCGGATGAGGCCAAAATAGTTCTCTTTGGCCGAGTTACACACAACGTTTTTAGGCGATAATATAGAAAAATAATTGATTTTGTAAGAGGTTTTCAAGTTAGAAAATCCTTTTTTGTCGTTGGAGGAAAAGCCCTTTGGGCTTGAGAAAAATTATAGTGCTACTTTACTCTTCTAGTAAGAAAAAAATTGGTATCGTCACGTTCCATAACGATAGTCAATAAAGGTGGAATTCAAATAAGGCCACTTTTGACTTTTTATTAAAAAAAAAAAACAGTCAGATAAGAACCCAAGGCCAAGGCGCAAAAGTACGTTTTCGACATCTGAGTACAATAAAGTGACAAGTAAGTTCAAAAAAGTAATTTTTGACATTTCAGTACCAAAGAGTGATAGGCATTACATAGACGTGTTTGAGGACATAGAACGTTTACTGAAAAAAAAAACTGAGATAATGTCATCAAATTGTTGGTAGGGATGATTACACAATTCTTGGTTATAGTTTAACCATCTACATATTTTCGGGGATTATCTCTGTCTGTCTAATAAAAATCGCCGTAGACAGACGACACAGAGACGACAAACAACAGAGAGAACCAAGAAAAATTGACCAATGATAAGTACGAGCTGGATGAATTAAAAATCCAACAAAACAAGGTGACTAACCATGATTCGATTAAGAAATTCTCGCAAGAAGACTATATTGTCCGCAAAACAGGCGCGCTACGAATTTAAAACTATTTAATTTATCAGAAATGGATGAACTATTCGAACAGGCGGAGAGATAGCGACGGGTATCGCTATCAAACAATTATGGAACTCGAGAGCAGAAAAATAAAGTTGTGAAAATCCTGAATTAAATATATTCGTGTAGGAATATGATGATAGAAATTAGAAATTTTAAAGTCATATATCTACACGTAAGGAGAATTTGTATATAAACAGGGATCTTATTCCCTTACAACGAAACTACAACTTTTTGATTCGCTCTGCATAGAGCAAGGAGATAATTTAATGATGTCTTCCTGTTGATTTCATATACCGATTGAATTGGGCCAAATTTTCCAGTACTCTTCATATAACCGTTGTACTCTTTGAGAGTGGTTGGATAACGTACCTGAGTAATACATAGTAGTCTTCTTATCTTTTCTGTTCAAGAATTCCGTTTCATTTAGACTACAACGATTGTCTTTCCACTTCCACGTTGCTGTTCTGGTAGTGCTACCATATGCGTCAGTATTTTGTTTTTTAACTTTGTTGTGAAGCACAAAATTAGGCAGGTGTTTCCTTTTACTTCTCGAGCGTAAGCAAAGGAAGTATTGTAATCGAGTCCGTCGGCCAACTCTCTACTTTTACGTTTTCTCGATCTTTCATGACCCCTAGAAGACGAAGAAATAGGTCTCCCATTTCCGTCTGTCTGTCCGTCCGTCTGTCCGTCCGTCTGTCTGCCGTCCCGGATTTTTTTTAGACAGATAATCTCCGAAAGTACTCGACCGATTGTTGTGAAATTTTGTACTTATATTAAGAATATCATGTAGATGGTAAAACGCTAACCAAAATTTGTCTAATCATCCCCACCACTAATGCGATGACGTCACTTCAAAATTGTACATAGTAAATGGGTTTTCAATTGTATAAAATAACATAGTCCTACACATGTAGTTTACAACTCTGAATCGACTTTTCACCCGAAACGTCCAGATTTTTGGAAAAAAAATCAAAATTATAAAACAACATTTTGAAATTTAATTTTTAATCTGCTAACCAGAATGCTTTGAAATGTTGCAGATGTTTTAAGGCTATAAAGAGCATCATAAATCTTTAGTCAAAAAATATTTGCTTATCCCCTCCAAAAACTTGATGACGTCAGCTCAAAAGTTTGTGGAATAAATCATATCTAAAATGTACAAAATATGATGAGCCTGTACTTGTCATTTATCACTCCATTCATATTTTTTGGATTTGCATATACAGAGTGACTCAAAAAAATTAATGAATGCGTAAATATATTTTATTGATTTAATCAGGAACTACAAAACGGAATGCTCTGACATCTTGCAGATGTTTTAAGGTTATAAAGGGCATAATAAATGTTTAGTCAAAATATATTTGCTTATCCCCTCCAAAAACTTGATGACGTCAGCTCAAAAGTTTGTGGAATAAATCATATCTAAAATGTACAAAATATGATCAGTCTGTACTTGTGATCTATCACTCCATTCATATTTTTTGGATTTGCATATACAGGGTGATTCAAGAAAATAAATGAAAGCGTAAATTTATTTTACTGATTTACTCAGGAACTACAAAACCGAATGCTTCGAAATCTTGAAGACATTTTAAAATTATCATAAGCATGGTAAATTTTTGATCAAAACGTATTTGGTCGTCCCCCCTAAAAAATTTATGATGTCACCACAAAATTTAGCTGAAAAAATCCTATCTAAAATGTACAAAATATGGTGAGTCTCTTCTTGTGATTTATCATTCCATTCAAATTTTTTCGATTTGCATATACAGGGTGACTCAAAAAAATTAATGAATGCGTAAATTTATTTTATTGATTTAATCAGGAACTACAAAACCGAATGCTTTGAAATCTTGGGAATATTTTAAAGTTATTATAAGCATGGTAAACTTTTGTTCAAAATGTATTTGTTCATCCCTCCTAAAAAAATTGATGACGTCACCCTTAAATTTTGCTGAATAAATCCTATCTAAAATGCAAAAAATATGATGAGTTTGTACTTGTGATTTATCATTCCATTCATATTTTTTAGATTTTCTTAAGAGGTGGTTCAAAAAAATTAATGAAGTCAATTTATTTTATTGATTAAATTAAAGGCAACACTTATTATTAGTATTACACCCCAACCAACCCAATTTGGTAGACACAAAATTTGTTAAAGGAAAAACTCGGTTGAAACATAAGGGTAGCACGCTTATTTACATCGACTTTAACATTACAGACCTGCATTTGTTTTATGCGTTCACTTGATTCCGCGAATGTGAAATAGACATGTTTATAATCAACCAATTGTGAATTTCACCGTCAAGAATTAAAATAAAACCCAATGTTTTATATAATAAGCGGAAGTCGAAGCAATAAAACCGACGGTCGTTTTGTTTACAGTTTCTCTGTTTGGCTCTCACGTATGCTGTTACGCCTGTCATCTTAAATTAAGAATGTTTATACACACACGATTTTCAGTTGCCTCTGATACGTAGGTATACGTGAGTAAATTGTGTCGTTATTTTATTGATTATTACAAATCAATATTCAAACGACCCAATTCATTTTCCCGAAAATTTGAGAATATAATAATTTTATTCTTAGTATTACACTACATCTATCCCAACTGATATACGTGTCCTTGCAAAAATGTTGATGACGTCATCGCAATTTTTTTTTAAATTCCCACTACAAAAATGTAATGAGAAAAAAAACACAATAGGCATGCAGTCGTCAAGTTTCCGACAGCGAGGGAAGTACTGTCAGTAGTATAGATAGCGGGTTACTGTGACACTTCGATGGCATGTCCTCTGTCCATGACCTTGGAAGGTCATTCTTGTGCTGAAGAAGTGCCCACCCCCGAGGGTCTTTCTACAAGACATGATCAACAATGACGTCATTGACCAGAGGCTTCTGAAATTAGGGCGTGGCTCCTCCAGGGGTGTGGTCGCAGGTGTAATCACAGGTGTTTTTGAGGTGTTTTTGAAAAAAGGTAAAAAACCGTTTTTTTTTTTTCATCAGGTAAATTTTGTTTGGTGTGAAAAAAATTCCAATTGCTTTCATCGTGATTCGAACCGAGCGCGTCGGTTTGTCGATTTATCAATTCCATCTATGCGACTATCAAGCTAATGTGTTGAACGCTTGTAAAATTGTGATAGTGTAGAAAACGGACGGACACCACACCAGAATTCAGCGTTGATATCGTTTCGGCTAGCCTAGTCTCTCTTTTTTTTGCGGGAATTTAAGAGAAAATGAAAAACACCAAGATCTTTTTTTACATTTTATTGTGTCAACTTAAAGAGTTAAGTATTTGTTTCGTTTTGTAATAATATTGTTCAGAAACCACACTGTACGTAGAGAAAATTCTTAATATTTCTTATTGGCAGATTCGTAAATGCGGCTGTGTACATGTTTTGTTTGATAATGCTCTTTCACAAACTGCATAAAATAGCAACTATTACATAAAGCATGTAAGGAATGTGTTGCTCCCTTACATTTTGGACAGTTGTGCTTTGTTGGAATTGGCATCTCTCTGCGTGTGGGTGCTGCTAATATTGAAATAAAACTAACATAATATTTTGAGGCGTTTATTCTTTATAGTTCAAATAGTAAACATTTTGTATACTAAACATAAATTTTCAAACGGTCCTTCTTGTGGAATTCTTGCAGCTTCACGCAGTGAACTTGTGGAATTGTATTCAGTATTCCTGTAGAATAATATTTTTCTGTAGCCAAGTTGTTCTAATTCATAGTAACCGCAGTAGAGTTTTTCTTGGAATGATGTTCTATGAGTTATAGGATAGTAGTCCCAATTTTGACCTATTACGTTTCCCACAACTCGATTTTGTATATCCCTAATAGGTGTTCCCAAAGCAAAGTTTTTTCCTTCAAAATAAAACGCTGGATATTCACGTAGAACTACTTGGCTTTGATGGATTTCGTATACCAAAAACCGACCTTCCTCTATTGGAAAAGT